GGTCCAGAAAGTTAAATTCAACACCGTCTCGCACGTAACTTTTTGGACAAGAACAATGCCTGAGATTTTTTACCGAAGTAGGCGGCTGACGGAGCCTGGTTGCAGGCGGCAAACCTGCATAATGCGAACCCCGGTCTTTTGCATGTATCGTTGTAAGAAACCACTTCCCATCATACTCACCTACCACCAGCTGGTGTGGTGGTGGGTCTCAGAAGAGTGACGGGTCTGTAGTCCACCTGTTAACAGCACTTTGGCACACTTTGCAGCGGTTTTGAGGGTCGCCATGCTGAATCTACGGGTTGCATGTTGCAGCACTGCTGGTCCTGCGTTTGTGCTTGAACGTAGGAAGCGGCGCCGCAACTCACCAGCCATAATCTAGATGTCCCACGGCAACGCAGCATTAAAAAAAGGAACTCATCCGTTCTCCCTGCCACGCACGTTGAGAAAGGAGATTACAAGCTCAGCTGTCACATTCAGACAAAGCAGCCCCCAGGACCATTTTAATCCAGACCCCGAACCCAAATAAAAGAGTTAGTCCAGGTTCTGGTGTTGAACTAAAGGCTTCGGGAAGCCTCACGAAAGTTCCCAGTTTAGGGTTTAGGGTTCAGGGTTTAGGGTTTAAGGTTCAGGGTTCAGGGTTTAGGGTTTAGGGTTTAGGGGTTTAGGGCTTAGATAGACCCGTGATTAATAACACCCACCCTCCCATTAAAACGCTTCATAATAGGGATCCTAACCCTCGGGCTCCAAATGGCCCAATCTGGGTACTATTTGTAAACATTGGGACCAAATGTAGGAATCATTAAAAGACGTGGAGCCCGAGAGTAATATAAAGGCCCTTAAAAAGGAGGAGATTTGTTAATCACGGGTCTACATCAGGGCTCAGGGTTGCGTCTGACAGTTCCACCTGAGCACGTGAGGGAAAGGATTCACCGTTATCCCCCTGCTGGATCAATGTTAGGGATCCTTTATACTTTTTGGGGTGTGGGGTTCCTTATATTCTGTAAAACAAATCCGTTTCTCTCCCTTGGGTAATGTGGACTAAGCCTGGGTTCCCCATTCATGATTTGGTCCTTCAGCACAGTAACCCCTTCCCCCTAACATTAAACCCCCACCCCCCCAATACTAGACAATCCCCTTATGTGGTAGATAATGAGTTATCGGGAGTATTTAGTATTAGGGGGGTGGGGGGTTTTATATTAGGAGGAGGGGATTATAAGTGAGCCCACCAGCGTAGCTTCTCACAGTCGTTCGAAGAGAAAGACAGGCCCACACGAGCATACGACTGAAGATGCATCTGAAGCACCTTAGTGTTCGGGTCTATGAAAGCGAAGTTGATTTCTTCGCTTATGCTTGCAACGAGTTTGCGGGATTCGGAAGGGGCGTATTCTATGAATCTGCCATGTGGATCGTGTAGTAGACTCTGTCTAACCCTTCTCTCAGTTTGAAGGCCTGCCTTCACCTCCCTTGTTCGAGCCCACCCTTTCGGGATTGATAATGATTCCGGACTCCAAGCATCAGGGGTCATCTCTTCTTGTTCGGATCTTAGTGCATTTTTCAGGGGACCATAAAGTTTGGCAATGCTGATGCCTCACTGCTTTGTGTGGCGCTGGCACGAGGCTCCGACATCCCTCGCGTTGGGGATTTCGATGTTACGCCACATGGCAATTATGTCTGCCCATGGGATCCAAGAAACCTTTGGAATTGAAGCTCAAAAGGCCAGCCCAGGCGTTTAGGAAAGCATTCTCTTTGCACTGTAGACCAGGAAGGGACCGACGATTTGAGAAACCTCGACTATTCAATCGCGCCTAAATCTCAGACTTCGAGGCATAAACCCTATGCCGTAAACCTTAAGCCCGAAACCTCCTAACCTGAGTCCTTAGACCCTGAACCCTGAGGAAGGCACTCAATTCTCAACCCTGCTCGCTAAACTTTACTTGGAAGGGTCGAGGGTCGGCATATTTACAAAGCAGGGTAGTTACCATTATAAGGAAAAGTTGCTCTGTATTACCTTATATGTCCATACGATGAAAGTTTACCCTACACCCGATGTGTCGCTGGGAAAGGGATCCCATTATGGTAGCTAAGTTTAATTTCCTTGGCACCCTATATGACCCATGTTCCTCCATGTGATTTTCCAATGATGACGTTTGTTATATAGCCTCTTTAACTGGCAGCCCTTATGATGACTTAGTCTCTTAGGTAGAATGTACTAAGCCCTGAATTACAGTTCCAAACCTTAATGCCTAAATCCTAAAGCCAAAATCCCAGCCTAAACCACCAGCCCAAAGTTCTTAATCCTAAACCCTAAATCCCAAACTAGATCCTGAATCCTAAGCCCTGAATGATAAAACCCTGACTTCTAAACCCTAAACCTTACACCCTGCCCAGATTTCGCCCCTGCAGAGGACTCGCGAGGTCCTTGGAGAGAAGGGCCGCCGCATCCGCGAACTCACCGCCCTCGCTCCTGGCCTCTTAAGGAAGGGGTTCTAGTATAGGGGTTATAGGGGTCATATTGGGATAATGGAAAAGGAAATGGAAACTACTATCTAGGGACTAGGGTTTAGATTTATAGTCCCCCTTAAGTAGATAGAATTTGGGGTATATGGGATCTTATTGTAACATACCCCAACCCATACTCTATCTACTTTAGGGGGACTATAGGGTTTTGGCAACAGGGTTTAGGAATAGGTTTTGAATGGTTTTGAGTTTAGGGATCTGGGGTTTGGGGCTTAGAGTTTGGTGTTCAGGGCTTGCAGCCTTGAGGCTCAGACGTGTTAGTGCTTAGATAATAGAGGTCAGCGCTTAAAATTAGGGTCTAAGTAATTACTCAAGTGCTGAGATTGTGCGTCCAAACTGCAGTGCTCTGACGGGGTCTTGGTACCTAACGGCTAAATTTTCTGAACCTATACCTTCAGACTAGGGTTTAGAGTTTAGGGCTTGGGGCTCAGGGTTTGGGGTTGCGGGTTGAGGGTTTACCGAGTCTAGGCCCTGGGGCGGGATGGTTGATAGGGTCTTGGAGATGTAGGCTTAGAGTTTAGGATATCAAGTTTGGAGCTGATGAAGTCATTAGGGTTTCGGGTTTAGGGTATGCTTTAGGACTTGCAGTATCTTGTAGTTATAGTCTATACCCCAAATGCTAGAATCCTTGTTATAGGACCCTAAACTCTAAACCCTTAACCGCGTCGCGCGGCGCCTTCTTTTTTGAGATCACCCCACATCCCGAGTCTGACTGCTCGGACCACTAGGAAATCCCTTCCCAGTCATATTGAACTCCTTACCCTGCTCATCATATTTATTCCCTCATATATATATACATACATGAGCATGGGACCAAACTTAGAGTATGTTTTTGAACCCCCCTAAACCCCTTATACATCCCCCTATGGCGCCCGCAACCTACTTGAGCCCGTAGCTCGCATATTAATACGTATATATATATATATGTATGTATGTATGTATGCTTATATGTGTGTGGGTGTACATATATCGTGGTGCCATATTGGGGTGTTTGCATTTACTGGGGGGTGTTACGTGGGGAGGGGGGAGGTGTTACTGAGCGGCAATGTCGCCCTTAAATCTTGCTGCTTCAGCGCCCAGAATCAGATAAGCTACTGTCAATGTTGGGGTGGCTAGGAGCTACTAGGTATTGTTATGGGGTTCGGGGTTTATGGAATTTACCCAAATAATGGAGAATCAGTGGAATAGTTTAGGGTTTAGGTAGGGTTTCAACAACTGGAAACGTAATATCAGGTTTAGATTTGTATCATAATGGCGCAGCAAACGGAAAACCTGGAAAATGACGATGGAAACCGGAGTCATAAAGTACAAGGTATGAAGCCGCCTAAGCTGCTACCAAAACATGAGTCCATGGTAGATGATATGGTTTGCCCTAAACCGTAAGCCCAAAACCCTAAACCCTAAACCCTTAATAGCAACCCTGGAGGCTTTCTGAAAGTTGTCATGCACCTGGTGGCGGTCCTACCGTCAATGGAGGAAACCTTGCACCGCCTAAACCCCTCAACTACTGCAGACTTTCGAGACATAAGGTGGTGCAACATATTCTGCGTCCACCGCATCTTCGGGATGTGTGGGCTACAGTCAGTGTTGCCTGTATAAGTAATGGACATGCGTTCCTAATTAGGGAACATATTAGGGACTATACTATTGCGGTTGCTTCTCTATTCTTGGGATAATATCCCTGAAGCCCAAACCCTCAATCCTAACATACTTGGGTAAACCCAGATCAGCTATAGTCTACACTCCTTCAAAGGGCGTATATAGGGGATTATTTAGGGTAGTGTTATAGGCTTGTTTAGAGGGATGCTAGGAGCTTAGACGGTAACCCATATAACGCTCAGATAGGGGCATGGGGCTCTACGAGGTCTATATAGGCCTTTTCGAGGGTACCAACATGATAATTACCCACCCGCGGGCCCTTAATCCCTAAAACCTTCAAGCGCTTTTTCCTTTTCTTGCTTGAAAGCCCCAGGTGCAGAAGCGATTTGGCTTCCCAGAGAACAGCGTGGAGCTGTTCGCGGAGCGCGTTGAGAAGCCAGGTTTAAGCTAAGATGTGGGAGTTTGCAAAATTGAGGCTCTTCTTTGGGGTCCCTATATGGACTAGTGCATTTTGGGCTCCATATTCGGGTTCCACTAATTTCCAGAAACTTCTAGATGAGAGTTGTTCAAAGCAAGCGCATTCTAATCCTTGGGGGTAGGGCCTAGAATCTCCGTATAACAAAGCGAACATGCCTAGGGAGGGCTGCTGAAGTTCCTCACTTTTCAGATTCTTTTCCAACAGCGACGTTCTCCAAATGAAGGTGGCTCAGGGGTTGCCAAGACGAAGGTCTTTCGGTAGTTTTTTCTAGCCGATTCTAGCCTATAGGTCATTGCGGTGCGGTAGATCCATGTACTCACGCTTTCGGGACGTATTTTCAAAGGGCTTTGACGGGGAACCCAATCAGGGAAGCCCAGGGATGTTGTAGGAATATAAACGGCATGTAGGGACCCTGGCGAGTATATTCCTATTATGTTCCTACGCTATTCTTGAGGCTTCCAGTTTGGGGTCGCCATTAAAGTCCTTTCGGTGTCCATGGTGGTTGGAACCTTTAACCCTAAACCCTAATCCCTAAGCCCTGAATCCTAAACCCTAAATCCTAAGCCCCAGCCCTTAATCCTAGACCCTAGACCCTGAATCCTTAACCCCAAGCCCTCAAATCTGGTGGTTGAGGGCTCTTGCATGGCTACTCGGTTAATCTCCCGGACCCATCACTCCTGGAGTTCTGGGGCCTTCCTCTACCCTGGTTTAGGTTTCAGGCTTAAGGGTTTAGGTTTCAGGGTTAAGGGTTTAGGTTTCAGGGTTAAGGGTTTAGGTTTTAGGGTTAAGGGTTTAGGTTTTAGGGCTAAGGGTTTAGGTTTCAGGGTTAAGGGTTTAGGTTTTAGGGTTAAGGGTTTAGGTTTTAGGGTTAAGGGTTTGGGTTTTTAGGGTTTACACATAGGGGTTTAGATTTATGATTTAGGGTGTAGGGCTGTGACTGAAGGGTGTAGGATTTAGGTATTTGGACTTAGGCTTAAGGGTATAGGGCTTCAGGATAAGTAGCGTATCCCCATGTTGAAACTTCTGGGTAACGAGGGCTTAGATTACTATGCTGTAGGCATGTGAGTTTACAGTTGAACCCTCAGATTTAACTTAGCCTCTTAGGTCCCTAACACCTAAACCCTAAACTTAGCCTTTTAGGGTGTAGAGTTTAGGGTCTCCATAGTCTACCCAGAGCCTCCTAGGTCGTTTGTTTTTTTGAGTTGACTATGTGGTTTAGGGTTTAGAGTTTGCGGGGGTCTGTCCCTCCTTACAGTACGAGTTACCACAAAAGGTAGTCGGAGGTATCAGAGCCCCGTAGTAGAACCCCCTTAAGGACAGATGCAGTACTAGGAGGGGGACTGACCCAAACTCTAATTACCTACCAAAGCTAAACCCCAAAGCCTAAGCCGTAAACCTCAAAAAGCCCAACCAAGCCAAAAAGGAATTGCAGAGCCTTGCAGACCCTGAAGCTCCGCAAGCCCCAAATGCAAACCCCCAGAAATTAGTTTGGCTGGGCTCTGCCGGGTCCTAACCATGCGGTCTAGGTGTTTAGGGGGGATGGCCATAAATTACTATAATGGGGTTATGTAGGGTTTAGGGTTTAGGGATAATGGAAAAGAAAATGGAAACGACTATAATGGGGTTATGGGGTCTAGGATTTTTAGTTTGGATCGGCCCTAACCTTCAGGATCTGGGTGCCCAAATTGTGAAAGCTTGGGGACCCACTCCGTTCTAAGACAGGTACCGTGATTGATTGAGGTCAAAGTTTAGGCGACGTAATTAAACCCTAAACTCCAGAAACCCTGAACCCTAAACCCTAAGCCCTAAGCCCTAAACCCTAAACCCAAGTATACGCAGGGGTTTCAGAACAGCAAGGAATCGCGCAAGCTGTGCCATGGCCCAGTGTGAATCTCTGCGCTCCCTGGCTCCGCTTGGGTGTTTTAGGGATTAGCGTTTAGGGTTTGAGGTTTTGAGGGTTTTAGGGATTGGGGTTTAGGAGTTAAGGGTCTAGGGTTTGAGGCATAGGGTTTGGGGTGTTAGGGTCGGGGCTTACGGATTAGGATCGCAAACATGGATGTAGGCTTCAGGCTTGGAACTTCATTTTGGGCTTACTTGATGCTCAGAAGAACGTCGCAAGTCTCAGCGAGAGTACCGACAACCTCGAGGAGCATACCGGGTAGCCCCAGTTCTTCATTCTATACAGAATCAAGCCTTTCTTGCATAGTAGGATTCAGGATTTGGTGAACGCAGGTGTTAAAGGGTGTTCACTACACCCTAAACCCTTTCCTCGCGCGCGAGAAGAGCTTTCAGCTTAGATATTCCAAAGCCTCGGAGCCAACTTCTGTAGTCGAGATAATCATAGAAGCCCTATGTACCCTTCCTTCTGTCCCAATTAAGCTTCATTCTGCCTATTTGCCACCTGCATTGTTACCCCATGGGAGCTGCCCACGCTGAATCCCACCTTACCCCAAAGTACCATGGTACCTCAAAAAGGCCATGTGAAGACTACTGCTCTTGCAAAAGAGGGCTGTATGGGCTCAGCCAGTCTTGGGGAGGATAATCCTCAAACCCTGCACCCCTTTGTAGCGCCAAAGGGAATTTTTATACTTGGCATGGCAACCAGTTCCTCTTTTCCAGACCGCATGTCAGACCCTCTGAATTTTGGTTTTTCGCAGACCCCTTTTGCTTCATGCCCCCTTGTTGCATGCTACTTTGAGTTTCCTTTCGCGCCCCGCTCCATACCCGTTCCTGACAACACAAACATAGATGACATAGATCTGAGAGCTCCATGACGGGACCGTTGGGATCCACTCCCCCTTAAGCACCCAGACGCTTAGGGCGGAGCCGAGCTTAAATCCCACAGTCATTGAGGCTTCAAGCTCATCGGTGGCTTGGCAGTCCGCCGAGCCTGCTATGGCGTTTTGAGGCTGGTTTAGTTTGGGATTCTGGATTGCCGGCTTTGAGGGTTTCCTGGTGGGGTAGAGCGTTCATGCTTCGGATTTGTTGCTTAATTTTCATGCCGTGCCCTAAACCCTGAACCCTATAGGTTAACTTTGGCCTAGAGCCAGCAGCTGGCACAGTCCTCCTTGCACCTTTGTCAATGCAGAGGGCTTAGGACTGGGGGTTGGAAGCTGGGTAGGCTCCTGGGAATTTTTAATAGTTTCCCTAATGGCTTTAATAAGGGACGCTATATACTAATATTGTTCAAAGGTTTTGTAGGGGCCAACCCAGGAAGTTTAGGGGAATTTCAGGATATAGAGTTTCGGGTTCCGATTTCAGTTTTCTGGGTTGCAATTTGGGGTTCAAAGGTTAGAGCTGGATATTCTGGAGCGCTGCCTGAAATCTGCAGCAGATCCTTGGCACAAGCTTGAAAGTGACTCGTACGGTTTAGTTTTACGGTTTTCCATTCCAAAGAAACCCTGAACCCTAAAATCTACCGGAATGCCTCTGTTGCAGTAACCCTTATGCGTAGATTCTCCATTTTCGGCTGCTCTCTGCAGTTATGCCCGAACTTGTGCTATCAAATGTGCCATGCTTCTTTAGGACCACAGACTCACCGTGTGCAGGTGTATGTATATATTCCCATTGACCCCTTCAGAAATTGTATGCAAGCCAGAAGACATCCTACAGCGAGCTCAGCTCCCACTTCCAAGGACCCAAATAATAGGGTTTTTGGGCCCAACTAGTATAAGATTAATGGTATTTGGGACCTAAAGCCCTATTATTTGGGTCCTATATACCCCTATCTAGTCCCCTAATATCCCTATATATCCCCCTAGAACCTCCTTTAAAGGGACCCTATTACTTGGGTCCTTGGACCCTTAGGGTATTGTACACAAGCGGGGTTTACCATTTTAGGCTCGTAGCTGGCTTCCTCCCCAAAGGGTTCGAATTTGCCCATCTCCTCCTTGTATTCTACTTTGGAGGGTCAGGGACTAGGTAAGTAAGTAAGTCAGTCCTGAGACCCTAAAACCTACACCCCAAAACCCTAAAATTCGAAATCCTATAGCCTATAACCCTAAACCCTAAAACCCTAAACCCCAACCCACTGAAGCCCTAAGCCCCAAAACCCTAACCCTCAGATGGGGATGGCTGGGGAGCCATGTGAGCTCTAGTCTTTGGGGTTGAGGGTGTAGTCTACGCTCCCTAAAGAGAGTGTAGAACAGGGGATTATTCAAGGGAGTATTATGCGGGCTATTAAGTGGGATACTAGGAGTTTAGACTGTAGGGTTTAACGTCTAGGGTTCCAAATTTCGACTTTAATCCAATAAAGCTCCTCTTAGAAGGCTCTAAACCCTCAACCCTTTTAGAAGAACTCTCCTCTTTACAGTCCCCTTCTTGAGATTCCATGTTGAGCTGGGGAGAGGTGCAACAAGCACAAAGGAACCGCAAACCCGTACACAGCTGACTTGGCTGGCCTCACAAGATGGGGGAGGGCGATTCCGAAGACAGTTGTCCTTGATGTGCCCCAAAGTATATACTACAATCCATGTTGTGCAGAGCCCCGCAAGTGACCCCTTTGGTTGGCAACCATCAAAATGACCTAATATAAGTTCCTGTTCTAATCCTACACAATCCCGAAGGCCAGGGGAAATCGGAAACAATGGAAAAACTAAGTGGTTTCCCATTCTTGTCATTTGTTCTCCTAGGGAACATAGGGACAACGTAGGAACACATAGGAAGCATATAGGACCAGGAAACATCCAGGAAGGCCTAGGCAAAATGAGAAAACACAGAAAATAAGGCATGTGTTTTTCTTTGTATTCCTAGTTCCTAAGCGAAAACAGAAAAGTGAGGAAAACTACAGAAAAAAGCTAGAGAACTAGGAAAAGGAAGGAAGTGGATATGGTTATCCCGTGTTGTCCCATTTCTCGTTGTCCCATTTCTCGATGGTTGCTAGGGTTTTGCTAATTTTGTGGGTTTGTTCTTGTGTGTCCTACGTTGTCAATTTTGCTTATTTCCCAATCATATTTTCTTCCTATCTTATCCTATTTTCCAAGATTAGCTATTTCCACTTTCTGGACATTTCCATATGCAGGGTCTTAAACGGGTTTGGGGTTTAGGGCTTTGTGCGCCCAGCGTAGGCATTATTTATGGGCATCAGGTCCCAATGTAGGTATTGCTGATAGACTTACAAAAACCCCAGGAATCGCCTTGGAGATTCATCATGGATCCCTTGGCATCTGTATTCAAGGGTTTCAGGCTTGTACCACTAGCTTGTGGAATCCTTTTAAAGGACTCTAAGGGAGTACGGTGAAGCCTTTTAGGGCACGACCTTACTTAGGGGTGCAACCCAGGAACCATTTGATGTATAATTCTAGATCATTTTCAACCCAGGAACCTACTTCACAGGTAATACCAGCGCTTCCAGGCATACTTTTACGGCCGACCTTCAAAGCATGTTGCTTTGGAGGTTCATCATGGAGAATGGCGCCAAGGGCGTAGAGGTCATCATCAGCGGAAAGCTCCGTGCCCAGCGAGCGAAGGCAATGAAGTTCAGGCGCTTTGCCGGGGCAGCAGGTTATGCGGGTCGGTTTTGGGGTACAGAGAAGAAGTACAGAGGGAGTTGAATCAGTGTATCCAAAATTCAGGGGGTCTTTTTGAGGGTTAGTTGAATTTAAAGTCTGCCCTTGAGGGTTTAGGGTTTAGGAGGGAGTGAGGGGTATATACGAGGTGTTATAGACTAGAGGGATTGTTATCAGGGCCCCCATTCCATAGGAACCCATCACTAGATCAACATTAAACGGGCTGTAGAGATCATACAAAAACCACTATGGAATCCTCAGAGATTGCGTGCCCCAGAACCAGAACGCAAAACAATGCTGGTGATCGGGCCTACCGGGGCTTTATGTCTGTCTGGGTAAGGGCACGGACAGATTCTTTAGATTTTCAAGTGCTGCACCACCGCTAAACCCAAGCCCAGGTAATGGCGGTAGCCTGGTGCCCTCAGGTCATGCAGAGCATGTCGCGAATCCATAGCTGGATGCCAGTTTACAACGTATATCCAGCTTCCCCGGAAGAGGACCTTCTAGACCATGACTGGGTAGTCATGATACAGGCAGGCCTTGAACCCTCAAGCCCAGATAAACACAAATTGTATAGGGCAAAACGTTAAAACGGAAACTCCGACCGGAATCCTATATAATTTGTACAAGCCCTAAACCCTCTACCCCTCCTCAAAACCCTAAACCCTAATTAAACCCTAAACCCTAAACACTCCCCCTCTGGGCAAGCCATGTGAGAGGCAAGGCTACCTTATCTCCACTGGTGAGCCGAAGAGGCCACTCCGCATCGTGGGCTTGAGGGCCTGTTTAGGGTTTGCGGGTTTAGGATTTTACAGTTTAGGGTTGAGGGTTTTATGGTTTCGGGTTTCAGGGTAGGCTGGATGCAAAGGAGTTTAGAGGGTTTAGGACTGGGGCTTTGAAGTTTGGAGTCAAGGGTTTCGGGTTGATAAGGTTGTAGGCCTAAGGTTTGGGTTAAAGTTTAGGAATTAGGTTTGGGTTTCAGGTCAAGGGTGTGTGGTTTGGCTGTGCATGTTGGGGGCAGACGGATTCAAGCACAGTTGTTCATGCAAAAGGAGAGTCATCAGTTCTGACAGGATCCTGGTGCAAGTACAGTTGTGAACTCTCTGCCCTTCCTTGACTACCTAACCAAGCCCCACCAAATTTCGCGCCTCCCTTGAAAGCCAAACTTTGATCTCGCGTGAGGATAGTAAAGCAGGCCTTGAGCCGTCAACGCTACAAGCGCTACTGTGATCTTGTTTGTGTTCTTGTTGTTTTTAGTCATACTATCCGTTTTGCTATTACTGTCCCTACTATTATTTATGGCTTGTAGTACCACTAGCTATTCTATCCCAACGACCAGTAGGCCGCGAAGCCTAGGTCTCTACAGCACGGATTATACCTGGCGTACGCCAAAGAGATGCACTTCTGAGAAAGCTCCTAAGCAAAACCTAAACCTACAGCTCATATCCCACGATCGGCCAACAGCTTCTGCAGCTGACCCAAAATCCGAGAGGTCCTCAAATGCCAAACTCAAACCCAAACTACTCTCTAAAGGAGTCTCCCGATATGGGTGGTTGTCAAAACCATGTGGTCCCTTTTTGGATCCCCATCATAATACGGCACCTAATATGTAGGGTACCCAAGAAGGGAGCATATTTTTGACAACCACCCATATATACCACTAGAGGGTGCCCGGGACGCCTTTTTTTGAGATGCAAAGGCACTACATCTCGGAGGCTGTTCGTCACGTGCAGATGCGCCAGGGCACCATCGGGATCAAGGCATACTGGCAAGGGTTGAAGCTTTAGGTTGAGGGTCTAGAGTTCAGGCTTTGGGGCTGTAGGTTTAGGTGTTTAGAACTTTGGGTTTAGGGTGGTTTGTGAGCCAGCTACCAGGCTAGTCACGCCGTAGTAACCCTAGTTTCTTACGCATCAGGCCACTCGGATTAAGCCGCCAATCCCTACAACACAGTTATCTATGTGTTTAGGTGAAGATCACCTCTTTCATTCCTGAGCGCCGAGAGCCTAAACCCTTAACCTGAACTCCAACAACAACACCTGCGAGAAAGCCCCAGGACGAACCATCATGATGTATCTCATGTGAGCTATACTCTGAACTACGTAAACGGGGGGCTATATGGGGCAGTATTATAGGGGTTATGAAGGGGAATGCTAGGAGTTTAGACTATAGCTCATGTTAAATCAATCCTATAGCCTTTCCCTCCTACCTAAGGCAGTCCCTACGAGGTCTACTTGGAGGGTCAAGGGTGCTTCGTAAGTATACCTCTTGCCCACAGCAGCCATATAGTGACCCAAGCTATCCGCATGGTTCACCTGCTTACTAAGTCTCCCCGGCCCTCCCTACATGAGCCATAGCCTAAACTCCTTAAAAGGGGGTTCTATGGGGGATTATATAGGGGACTACTATAGGGCTTATTAAGGGGGATACTAGGAGTTTAGACTATAGCTCACATGGTATGAGGATCCCTAATATGACTTGCGGTGTATAACTCCTGAACCCTGAAACTTAAAACCTGAACCCTTTCGAGGATCCCTAATATGATGTAAGGTATATTCCCTAATTGAGGGATATCGGGCTTTCCGGGTAACTCTTTATCCTAAGCTCTTAATCCTGAACCCTCAATCCCAAACCCTATTCCCTAATTCAGGGATATTGAACCCAAAGCCCTATTAACCCTAACCCCCAAACCTTGTTCCCTAATTGAGGACATTGAATCCCAAACCCTATTGTCCTGAAACCCCAAACCCTATTCCCTAATTAAGGGACATTGATGAACCCCAAACCCTGTTCGCTAATTAAGGGATATTGCGCTTTCTTGGCAGGTGAAGATCATGATGTCCCATGATCCGGAGGGCAAGATGCTGGGTTGCTGTTAAAAGGAACTTGGGAGTTTCCTAGAAGTAGGCGTACCGTTTTTGGTGGTTACACGGGTTATTTGGGGGTTCTAGGGGTAATATAGGGTTTAGGGTTAACGGTTTAGCCTTCCCCAAACTGGGGAGGTACCTGTTTTGGGGGGTCCCTGTATTCAGGCTTATATTATTTCTGGTTCTATATTTTCCTCCCCGTATTTTGGGAAACTACCAAATCAAATTGCCATGATGTTGGAAACGTACCCAATCATTGGCTTCAGAATCTGGAAGCCCAGTTACCAACAGAATTATACAAGGCCGGGACACTGGGCTTTTAGGGTTACTTCAGACCCCTCCACCCAAAACTCTGAACCCTTAACTCTAAGCCCTAAACCTCAAGCCCTAAACCCTGAACCCTAAGCCCTTAGTTGCAATCAAGGATGGGGCCGAAGATGCAGCTGCCAGACAACGTCATCGTGCACGAGCCCAAGGCCGTCGGATTCTGATTATGACACGCTTTAGGGTTTGGTGCTTAGTGATCGATACCAATAGGTGGAGACTCAAAAGTCAAAAAGGGATCGTGTTAGGGGATATATTTCCGCTGGTAGGGATATTACTCCAGGAACTTACCAGGAATTAGGGCAACAAAATAGCTTATATGGCAATGACATAGGAATCAGATTCCCGTTTTCCCTTCTGACCACCCGTAAGACAATCAAGAACCACATGGAACATGAGAAGGCTCCCACAGGGGTTACGAGGGGTCTTTTCTGGCATATCCGAGCGGAGAGCCGTGTAGGCCCCTCTGAAAAGACAGCAATTTAGGGTTTAGGAGATAGGTTTGTAGGGCAACTAGTTAAGATTGTCGGTGTTGGCCGGGGGACGAGGATGATGCAACAGGAGGAACAACAGCAGCAGCAGCAGCAGCAGCAGCAGCAGCAGCATCAGCATCAGCAGGCAAGGGTATCGAGCGTTCTCAAAATTGAATGTTACAAGTTGATTGGTTTATTTTAGAAAAACGAATCTGGTGCCGTGGGCTCTGGAAGGAACTGGAAGCCCAAAAGCCAAACTCCCAGCTTCTACCTCAGTGGGCAGGCTAAACAAGAGCTAGCCTATCCACTTGCGGACTGCATGCATTTGCTACAGCTCCTGTACTGTATGGGAAAGGGGAAACACAGTGCTTCAGGTTTCTGCAGGAAAACAGCAGCATAGCCTCCACGGAAATTAGAGCAGATGAGTTATTTGCTTCTGCGCAGGTTGCTGCTCCAGATATAGCGGAGATATGAGGGTTGGAAGGTTCCAACTTAAGCAAAACTTTTAGATTTTTTTGGCGATTGAGGCTTCGAGCCGTAGAGAATTCCCGTGCACAACTGCAAAGGTGGCATCCTACTTGCAATCCTCATAGAGACTCATAGAGCTATGCTCCCCATACGTTCCTATGAGCGGTAGGCTTGGGATGTTGAGTACTTATAGGGCTTCGTTTAGGGCTTAGGGTGTTGGTTCTGGCCAAAACGTAACGATCTCACCTGACCTCACTCCAAATGGTAGTTTATATAGACCAAAGTCTAAAGTCTAAAAGAATCTTACTTTCAGGTTGCGACATTACAACCCTATACCCTAAACCCCAAACCCTCTAAAATGGCCAGGTAGCTAGGGTTTGAATATCAGATCCAACAGCTCAGAGCCTTTAGCCCGGCCGCAGGAGGAGGCGCCCCCGATGATGCCACCTGCAGAGGCTGTATTAGGGTTTAGGGGTTTAACGGTTTAGGGTTTGGGGGTTTAAGGGCTTAGGGGTTTAGGGGTTTAAGGGTTTAGGGTTTAGGGGTTTAAGGGCTTAGGGGTTTAAGGGCTTAGGGTTTAGGGTTTAGGGGTTTAAGGGCTTAGGGTTTAGGGTTGTTTCGGGTAGGCCCCTGGGATATTTAATATTTTCCTTAATGGCTTTAATAAGGGACCCTATATTTCTTTTTTTTTTCAAAGGGTTTTAGGGGCCAACCCAGACTTGCGGGTTGTTGGTTTTTAAGTTCAGGTTTTCGGGGCTTAAGGCATTGAAGGGGATAACTATTACCAATGTCAGCATGAGGTTTGTTAGAGGTACTAGCCCCCATCGACTGAAGCAACGCGAGTATGTGCGTACGGATCAAATAGGTTCTCAGACGGGCCGAAAATGTCTGCTATGTGTGGACCTTTAACGAGCTGTTTTCACGGCTTATAACACGCACTCAAGACCTTAAATCCAATGATGCCCCACGAATAAACCTCGTACCCTGCACGCACGGAAGGATCAGGGTTATGGCAACGAGGGCTACGGCAACCAAGGCTACGACAACCAAGGCGCAGCAGCCGGGTTGGTAGTTCTGTGTCAGGCCACCTAGCCAACATGGAAGCCTCAAAAGGCCCTGCCTATGAAGATGATTGAAGATGAATGTGACTGTCCTTTGACAATTGGATCATTTCACCTTCCACGCGCGTGTAGGTGTGTGGGTAAGGGTTCAGGGCTTGCAGGAACGGGTGTAGGGCTTTGGGTCGGGTTTCAGGTCCAGGGATAACGAGCAAGGGTTGGAGGACTATATACTACATATTTGGGCCCTCAAGTAATTATATGGAAGCCTCTTCGGGCCCCAAGCGTATACTACACAATTAGCTACATGGACCCTTTGGGGGAGTAAGCGTAGGGCTTGGAGTTGTTCAAGCAGATCCGTATCGAGTCCTTGCAGGGGTCTTTTCAATTTCTAATGTCCGTGGGATCAAACACGTCTCTAGGTTTCTAGGGGTATTCCTACATTTCAGATCAACTCCCATACAAGGCTTGCAGTTTGGTGTATGAGGGTTCAGGGCTCATGGTTGGAGTCTTTTTCCTGATGCCCCATGCATTTGTATCAGGTTGGGGTTGCCCTATGATTTTGCTACAGTGTCGGGCGGGGCTGGGGGAATTATGGTCCAGCCGCACACGCAAACTCACATGTGTAATCGCGTGCGGTTCTTCCACCGTCCGAAGATTCGAGTCGTAGTGCCTTGAAACGAGACCAACTGCCTGCACGCCACAGCCGCAGCTCAAGGCCTGTTGCCGATCAGTTGTATTTTGCTTGGGGATGCCAAGGCCCTCGATACAGAGTAAGATCATATCCTCTTTTTTGGGCATGGTATTGTATAAGAAACATACAGTGTACATATATATATATACATATATATGGTCCCCCCCCCCTCAAAACCTACATTTTTAGTAACCCTTCTAGTATTCGGTGTAGACCTATAGCGAAATTTTAACCCAATATCTCTGTGTTTGCTAGCCACCCCTGGCTCAGGTAGTATGAA